GTTTTTAGTTTTCAAAAACCTGCCTAAGATCTTCTCTCCTGGATGAGGTAATGAGTTCTCAGAGGGGGCTGTCACACAGCAAGGATGGATGCGTCGCCAGCTGTGTACATGTGTACAGACACACACTCACCAGACACACAAAAATACTCTCCCAATAAGTGCACAGCTCTGACTGCAGCTCCCACATTGTCCGCTAGAGGCCGCCAAGGCACCAGCCTTCGCCGCCCGCCGAAACCGGCCTCGGTTCTCGCCTGCGCAGGCGCATCTCCGGCTTTTCCCGGGAGGGGGTGCCAGCGGTCCGAGGAAGGCCGGAGCGGGCACGGCGCCCACGTTTGCTGATGCATGAGCGAGTTCAGCTGCGCTGGAGCGCGCTGCTCTACTCAGCCCTTCGCTGCCGCTCAGCGATCTCGGGGTCCCAAGCTGAAGAAATGAAGGGCACCCGAGGACACGGTTCTGCTCCACCTCCTGCAGCCGTGCCTTCAAGTTTGCATCCTGCTGCGCCCGCTCTGCATATGGAGGGGAGAACCTAGGTTTCGAGGGGCCTAGATTTCTGTAATCTAGGCACAGCATTTTGCAAAATTTACAAAAACACAGAAAAAACGTGAACACATTGCTAGGGCTCTTTCTAGATGAGAAGACTTGAAGTTTAAGCTCCAGTAATTTCAGGATAAATCCACCTCTGATTGTACACATGCATATTTATTTACTGTCTGTCTTCTTCCACTAGAATGTCAGTTCCAAGAGGGCAAGGATTTTTACCTAAATTGTTAGCTCCTGAAGCCTCCTTCCTAGCACATCCTAGCAAATATAACTATTTGTTGAATGAACCAGCTGGAGTTGGTACGGTTTTCCAAGTAGAGATGACAATGGCCTGGCCTGGGGCTTGAGGAGTGGTTGGGATGGGGATGATGTCACTGAAACCTCGGAACAGTGACTCTAACACCTATTTGAAAGCTGAGGATGCCGAGGGCCAGGGAGATGAAGCAAGTGCCCGGTCAGAAGTGGCGCTGGGCCTAGAACCCAAGTCTGCCTTCCTTTGCCTCCTCTTGGCCTGCAGCCACGGCCCCCCCACCCCCCACCCCAGCCCTTGCACAAGGCCTTGATGCAACCTTGTACTGGCCCCAGGGTGCCCCTCGTGGGGGCAGTGCTGGGGAAAAGCTTTTGCAAGAGTTGGGGCAGGAAGCACCAGCCAGGGCAGGTCCCAAGAAGATAAGGGCGCCCCCGCCCCCGTGTGTGCCTCCAGGCCTTCTGATTTCCTCTCTTCCCTTCCCTTCCCTTTCCCGGAAGGCGGCGCCCGGACCCTGGCCTGGCCGTGACTCATCTCCTTTCCCTCTGGCAGCCAGCCTGCGATCTCAGGCCCGCTTGTCACTGGAAAGCCTTGCTGCATGTGACCTTGGGCATCGGGGAGCCCTCTCTGGCCAGCAATTCCTGGAGCTAAATAAGAGTAGCTGGTGTGAAGAAGGGTTCTACCCCTGCGCCTGAGTCTCAGGAGACAAAATGTGGGGGGCTCCAGGGGCACCTCCCTATTAGACCGACTTAGGTCTGGGATGACTCAGATTGGCAGATGTAAGGTTGGCGTTGGCGTGTGAGGCACTCTTGACCCCCGTGGAGGGCGAAGTGGGCATCCAGGGGTCAGGGCCTAGTGATCCCTTAGCCTCCAGGACAGAAACAGACATTTCCACAGCTTGCTTGGTCACGAGCTGGTTCAAGACCTGTGCCCACTGTGTGAGCTGTCCTCTCAGAACCAGGTGTCACCAGGACCTCTTCGAGGTCAGAGAGCCGGGACCATTTCCATCTTTGAAGGCTGTAGTTAGAGTTTTTAAATTAAGAAATGCCAAAACGTGGGTTGCAAAAATTGTGATATGTCTTATGCCTTGCATTTTTCCAGTTTGCGTGTTTAAAACAAAAATATATAATGACCAGCTATGATTCAGTTGGAAATAAGATGGAAAGTCTAAACTGGATGTCCTGTGGGAAAACGAAGCACCTCATAAGCCTGCTTTGGACCAGCCTGATTTCTGGAAAATCCTCCAAGTCAGCATCCAGTGTAGCCTTGGGTGGGTCATCCCGCCTCTCTGATGCCTCCTTTTTCCTCATCTGAAAAGTAGGAATAGCAGTGGGCCCACACCCCTGATAGCGCTGGCGAGACAATCCCTTCTAAAGGGCTCAAAACGTTTGACACCAACATATACTAAGTGTGCACTCGGAGCCAGTCACAGTGCTAAGCTCTTTATGTGCATGAGTTCAGTTGGGCCTTGAGGGCGAGGTTCTGGAGCCCATCTTCCAGATGAAAAAATGGAGGCCCAGACAAGTGAAGTGAAGATTCAGAGGCTGTCTTCTACCAGCCGCCCTACTAAAATGTTAACGTATTATTACTGTTGTTGTTGTTATTAAAATGAGCCTATGAGAGCACTGCCCCCATACGGCTGTCAGAAAGATTAAATGAATTACTTTTTCAAAAGAACTTAGTATAGTACCTAGCACACCATAATCACTCTGTAAGCGTTTGTTAAATAAAACAAACAATACTTCTGGTTTCGGGCCCACAGCCGTGGGGAGGCAGGGTCCAGTGCCGGAGGAACTTCGTCCCGGTGTCTCCCTGCGGCCTTGTCCCGGCTCCTCGCCGCGCCCCGTCCGCCCTGTCCGGGAGGGGCGACGGAGGTAATGATTTCCCAGGCAGCGGCTGGAAGGAGCAGGGTTTTGCGTGTTGCGCGCGCGCACACACACACACACACACACACACGCACACACACAGCGTCTCTCGCTCTCACACCCCCCGGGCGGCCTCTGTCCCTCCCCCCGCCCTCCGCGAGGCCCGGGCCTCTTGTGCAAGCCGCCGGCGCCCGCGCGTTCCCAGGCCCGGCTGCAGCTGCGGGCGGAGGGGCAGGGCGGGGGCGGCGCGCTGTTTGTCTAGCGCGGCCGTGCCAAAGGCGGCGGGCCCCAGACAGCCAGGCGCCTCCGTACACCTGGGGATGCTCAGGTTAAATAGCTCCGCATTCCTCGGGCCCAGCTGATGGAAACGCTCCCAGGCCGCCGCCGAGCCGGCTTCCAGATGGGCTGGGCCCGGGCCAAAGGGGAAAAGAGGGAAACGTGGAAGCCACAGTGTGCCTGAGCGGCGGGGGAGGTGGCCCGGGCCCCGCCGCAGCCCCTTCCTCCCCTGGAAAAGGGCCCTGCCGTGGGGGAGTACACGCGGGGACACGCCCACGTCCCTGTGGGTGGGCTCTCAGGCGGGGGCCCACACGCGGGTGCACACGTGTGCCTCTGAGGACACTCCAAGGACACATGGGCAATTAATAATGATAATTTATCATGATCAAACACTGACTACGTGCTAAGCGCTCTATTTCATTTCTTCTCTACGACAGTTCTGTGAAGTTAGTGCTATAAAACAGCCGCGGGGTGGGGAGTGCAGTCGGGGGGAGCCAAGCGCGTCGTTTACCTCCCCGTGTTGTGTTCTTCCATCGAACAGTGTGCTGGGGGAGGGGGCGGAACCCGGCTTAATGCAGTACTCAATAGATGATCATTTTGCAGTTGTTCATCCCCCCTGTGCCTCAGTTTCTTCTGTTGTAAACCTGGAATCCGAATCCTGCCTTTGGCCCCACAGCGATCCACGAAATCCTTTCTGTAGAGGGTTGAGCATACAGTCAGTACGCTCATGGTGCTAGGTACTATTTATTCTATTTTATTTATTGACAAAATGTATTAACAGTCCTCACCCTCTCTGGGACACATTCTTTGCCCTCCCGGTGACTCGGGACATGGGAGCTGACCTGGTGGGGAGACTCCAGGGGTGGTATCCCCGGGGTGGGGTGGGGGGACTTTGGAGGAAGGGTTTGCCTGAACACAGCTGCCCCCGCCTCCCTCCCAGACCAGCAGAGACCCCGGAAAGCCAGCCAATCTACAGAACAATTACACACTCAGAAACCCACAGTGTGGTTCTGCAGCCCCTAGAAACACAAACCCATCCATCAAGCCAAACCCATGCAGAGATGCCCACAGTGCATTTAGACAGAACATACAAGCCCAAACAGCTGGAGGTTGCACACTTTTCTGCAGAACACATGTGCTCACATTTGCTCTTCTGCATACACCCCCATGCATATCCTCATGCACACCCCCAGACCTGGACACCAACAGACGACCCAGCCCCACGGGGTAACTGCCAGTTCACTCATGTCACATGCACAGGCCCAGACACTCACGCACTCCGCCATGAGTACAAACTCACACACATGTCCAGGCAGATAGGCTCTTGCCAGTGACACCTTTTTCCTGCTCAGAAGCTGGGGACTGACTGGCCCACTCCTCCTCAGAGCCCACGCAAGAGCCCTGGGGGAGAGACAGGAGGTTCCTGCGAGCTGCTGGCATAGCCAGGCCAGCGTGAGGGGGCCGAGTCCGGACGCAGAGCAGGTGGCACGGCAGCTGTGCCCAGGCTGGCCCTGCCAACTTGCTCACCCACTTGGACAAGCTGGGAGCCCCAAGGCATCCTGCTGGGATCCAGAGCTAAGCAGCCCATCTCGGGAGGCACCTCCTACTGGGGAATGGGGTGACAGAAGTCCTGCTTCAGACTGGCTGAGGCTCTGGGCAAGCCCCTTTCCTCTGGGTCTCGCTTCCCCCACCTTGGCAAAGATGCAGGTGGTCCAGACACCGGTTCGCCAACTTTAATGGCTTGTTGAACCCTCCCCAACCCAGAGGAGGCCTTGCAGGTTGATCTGCATGTTAACAACCTCCCCAGGTGACCCAGATGGCCCAATGACCACTTTGAGAAACCCTAGAGATCTAGAGGATTGAATTTTATGACACTGGGGAGCACGGAAATGGCCAGGAATAGGGGGAAAGAATAGACTTTAAAGACACCGGAAACACTCATTTCAGGTCGGTAAAAGCGACAGTCCAGATGTGGCTCTCCAGCCCCCTCCCCCCCAGCACCAGCTGCAAAGAGGGTCAAGGGTCACCCCCCAGCCCAGGCCCCTCCCCTCCATCCAAAAAGTCATTGCAACTTTACCATCTAAAGTATTTGTTTAATAACAACAACAAAAACACCCCACAGAACTATTGTAAAACAATATTCTCAGTCGGTGATCATTGTAATATACAATACAAAGCAATTAATTTCCTCAGAAATCTGAGAAGCACCAAACGTGACCATTTTTTAAAATGTCTGCTTTTCAAAAAATAGAAACACACGGGGAAAAAATCTCCCCCCCCCAAGTCTCTGGTGGCCGGTAGGTGCGGAGGGAGGGCCGGCCTGCCCCCCTCAGTTCCCCAGCCCTGGGCTGGATCCCGCAAGCGCCCCATGGCCTCCGGATCGCAGTCTTGTTCCTCCCGAGCTCCAGCGAGGCGCTTGAGGACCAGAGAGCACTTATTCCTCTCGTCCCCTGGAGGGCCGGGGTCTGCCGGTCCTTGAGGGCGGCGCTTCAGCGACACAAGATGCGATCGTCCGCTGGAACACATGCTGCCTGTGAAACGAGAGAAAGAAGAGGTGAGACCGGCGGATTGCAGGTGACAAGGCTGGAAGCCACCCTTCCCCAGCAGACACGACAAGGGAGCGCTTTTCCCTCTCTTCTTGGGCATTCTTGCCTAGCCAGGTGCCCGAAAGAATGGGGCAGACATAGGGCCAAGACTCCCCTCCCCCTTCGGGCCTCAGTTTCCCCATCTGTAGAAGAAAAATGATCTCGTGCTCCAGGTGGGACCTCACCTCGGCCGCCAGGGCGCTGATCTCGCCGTTGAGGGTGCTGAGCGGGGCCCGGGCGGGGAGCCCCCGGCCCCCCGGGGTCCCGACTTGGGATTCCGAGTTCAGCTCCAACTCCAGGTCCCAGATGTAGTCGATGACGTGCTGGAGGATCTCCACCCTGCTCACCTTGCGGTTCTGGGGCAGGGTGGGCACCAGCTCCTTGAGGCGCGAGTAGCAGCCGTTCATGTCGTAGAGCAGCACGTTCACCTGCTGCTCGTCGAGCAGGGCGGGCAGGCGCGCCCCGGGGCCGCCGGCGCAGCGCGAGATGGCCACGCTCTGCTCCGACAGGCAGCGCATCACCTCGCCCGCGCCGCCCGCCGTCTTGCCGGCCTTCAGCGGGCAGCTGGGGCCCGCGGCGGCCGCGGCGCTGCCACTGGCGACCTTCATGATTCTGGCGTCGGGTAAGAGCAGAGAAGGCAAGGCGGACAGAGGCGGCGGTGGCGGGGCGTGCAGGGAGAGGCTAGAGCTGCAAAAACGCGGTTGTAGAACGCGAGGCCCGAGCCCGCCAGCCCGACTTTTATAAGGACTCCGCGGACCACCCCCCCCCCAGGGGCGGGCCCAGGCGTTCAAAAGAAGCCAATGGGAGGCTGGAGGCGTGGCCTTGAACGTCTTTGGGTCCCGCCTCCCGCTCTATTAGTGCACCCTGGCTGGCGTGGAAAGGCGACCTTAGTCTCAAGAACCGAAAAAGTGCGAGGACACGGGACTGGGTTGCTAGTGGAAGTGAGCGCTGCCTTGGGCCCCTCGGGACGAGGCAGGGAGGCTGGACTAGTATTGCCAATAACAAAAAGACTTCAAGAGTCAGTTTTCCCAGCTTCATTTTTCCGCCTCTCCAGCCCCATTTCACAGATGAGAAGAAACTGAGGCCCGGATGGAGAAGCGGCTGGCTCTGGGTTGCCCAGAGAGCCCAGTACTAGAGCCTGGGCTTCTGGACCCTATTGGAAGATTACCTCTGAGACCCTGGTCTCCCGAATACTTGGGCCGGAATTTGATGAGCCCTCTACACTCTGCTCCCCTGGGCTGGTCTCCCTTTCTCAATTCCCAGATAATATTGTTAGTTAATCTTCCTGGGACCAGGCGGGGGGCTTACCCAGGCCCCTCGGAGTAGAAGCAATTCGGGAAAGTCTTCCTCTGTGATTGGGGGCTGGGCCTTGGGAACTGAACTAGATAGAAGGCGCCCAAAGGGGGGCTCTATCCCATGATTCTACCCTGTATTTGCAGCCCCTTGCAAAAATTCCCCATATCTGCATCAGCTAGTAATTTTAAAATTTTTCTTTTTTTGGCTGGTTTTTTTTTTTTTTTTTTCCTAAAGACCTTGGATCAGGGTCTCCCTCCCACGGCGCGGCAGCTGCGGAGCTCGAGTCTCCCCCCCGCCTTCCCGGGCTGGTCTGTGTCAGCGTCTGAACAAGCTGCTCAGACCGTTAGACGCCAGGCCTGTGACGTCACCCATTCATAAAACTCGGACGGGCTGTCAGGCTGGCGCCGCGCGGGCGGTCGCCATGGAGACGGCAAACCCGGCTGCAGCGCTCCGCTGCTACCCCCCGCCCTGCCAGTCACCTGCGGACCTCCGGCCGCAGGCCTGGGAATGCGCTCCTCGCGTGCGCGGTCGCTGGGCAGGGGTCACCTTACCTCCCCGCCCCACACCTGGGAATCTCCTTACCAGGCTCCCAGCCTGGACCGCGTGGGAGGTTTCTTCGCCCGCTTCCACCCTCCCCACCCCTACCTCCCCCCTCCCTCCTAGGGAAAGAGATCCAATTCCAACTTTGCTGCTGGGTGAATTTATTTGAGTCTCGAGCCCTCTCTGAGCCCTAATATCTGCGTGGTATTTCGATAATAATAACAAACGTGATGATTTATTGCGTTCTTACTTCGTGCCAGGCACTGTGTGAAGAGCTTTGCCTTCATCGTCTTCTGTAAAGCTCTAAAGACAGGGGCTGTTTGGTTTCTTTATACAGAGGAGGAAACTGAGGCTCAAAAAGCCTCCCAAGAGGGAGGGCTTGCACTGTTATCACACGGGCGCTTTATTATACCGCTGTCCCTTCCTGCCAGCGCAGCCAGTCTGCCTCGAGAGCCCTAGATCGGCCAGAGGCTGGGGAAACTGAGGCTTAGAATAGCCACCCACGGCCACGCAGCGTTAGCAGGGCTAAAATTTTGTGCTCACATAGGAGAGAGTGATATTACGGCCCCTCCTCCCCCGAGCAATCAATTCCCTGGGTGTTAGCAGTTCCCACAAAAGTTTGGGAGATGGGCCAGTAAACCAGCCCCCTGCCTCCCCGTCAGAACACGAGGAAAACTGATCAGCGAGACCAGCTTCAAAGGAGAGAGATATCATTAATTAATTAACTCGTCTCCTCAGCCCCTTGCCACACCCCCAAACTCTCCGATCTCCCTAAGGCTTGTTTAGCAATCCTCTAATGGTTAGAGGGACCGTTTTGCTGTGCAAAAGAATTGCTAAAGAATTAGAAGGACAATGACCCACCAGAGGAAATTAGAATACTAATTTATTACCAAGTATTATGAATTGACCCAGCAATTCTACTTGCTGAATCAATTCCAGAGAAACCTACACACTGGGCACAAAGATATCAGCTCAAGGATGTTCACTAAGGTGCTATTTGCAAGAGGGGAAGTTGAAATGACCTAACGTCTATCAACAGAGACACTGTATGGACTATGAATGGAACTTCAATGCTGCGGACTGGCTATGCAGCAGGTGGGAAACACGCTTCTGAGAGATCTGGGTCCTACTGTCCGCGGAGAATGCCGGTGGTAGTCCGGAGGTCAAGGGAGGAACTCTTGGATGTGAAAAAGCCAACATATTGCTCACAAGGACACGTGTATCTGGAATTTAAAATGAGAGGAAATTATGCTGCGGAAAAAATTTCAAACACAATACTGTGTGATTCCTCTCGCATGAAGTTCTAGAACAGGCACAAGTAATGTATGATGGAAGAAACCAGGATGGTGGTTGTCTCTGGGAGTGGAAGGTGGGAGTTTCCAGGCAAGGGGCATGAGGAACTTTCTGGAGCGATGGAAACGTTCCATATCTTGAAGAGGTGTGGGTTACACAGTGTATGAATTAGTTAAAATACATTGAATTATACACTTTGGTGCATTTCGTTGTATTTAAATTGCACCTCAATAAAAAATATCAGAAAGCAAAAAGAAAAAAAAAGAAGTACTAACCAAATTATTAATGCCACCACTGTGAAGCAGAGTGAGGGGAAGGAGAGCAATGTGAAATAAGAATTTCACTTTCATCTTCACATAAGTATCTGAGTCTTGTTTTTTTTCCTTAAACAGTGTTATTGAAGTGTAATTGACATACACAAATAGCATATATTTACAGTGTATAATTTGATAACTTTTTTTTTTTAGGAAGATTAGCCGTGAGCTAACTACTGCCAATCCTCCTCTTTTTGCTGAGGAAGACTGGCCCTGAGCTAACATCAGTGCCCATCTTCCTCTACTTTATACGTGGGACGCCTACCACAGCATAGCTTCTGCCAAGCGGTGCCATGTCCACAGCTGGGAACGGAACCGGCGAACCCTGGGCTGCCAAGAATCGGAACGTGTGAACTGAACGGCTGCGTCACCAGGCCGCCCCCTGATTTGATATCTTTTGACGTACATATATACCCATGAACCATCACCACAATCAAGAAAATTAACATATACTTCATCACTCCTGTTTTTTTTTCTTTTAAGATTTTATTTTCCCTTTTTCTCCCCAAAGCCCCCAGGTACCTAGTTGTGTATTTTCAGTTGTGGTTCCTTCTAGTTGTGGCATGGGGGACGCCGCCTCCTCGTGGCCTAACGCCCATGGCCTGATGTCCATGTCTGCACCCAGGATCAGAACCGGCCAAACCCTGGGCCACCAAAGCAGAGCGCGTGAACTTAACCACTCGGCCACGGGGCCGGCCCCCACTCCTTCTGTTTTTTGTAATCTCTCCCGTCCCCCTCTTCTGCCTAGTGCCCAGGCAACACTCACCTGTTTTCTCTTTCGATTAGTTTTCATTTTCTAGAACTTTATATAAACGGTATACAGTAGATACAGTGTATATAATGTTATATTATACATTATATACTCTTTTTCATAGCTTTTCAGCCTAGTTTCTTTAACTCAGCGTAATTATTTCGAGATTCCTCCGTATTGGTTCCTTTCTATTGCTGAGTAGTAGCGTATGCATCACCACAATTTGTTTACCCATTCACAGTTTGTTGGTGGACATTTGGGCTGTTTATAGTTTTTGGTTAGTATAAATAAAGCTGCTATGAACACTTGTATACAAGTGTTTATATGAATTTCTGCTTTCATTTCTCTTAGGCAAATGGTAGTGAAGTGACTGGGTCACATAGAAGGTATTTATTTAACTTTATAAGCAATGGCTAAACTGTTTTCCAAAGTGAGTGTCCCCTTTACATTCCAGCAGCAGTGTTGAGAGCCCGGTTCCTCCACGTGCTCTCTCACGGTTGTTCCGCTCAGTCTTTTTCAGCCGTTCGAATAGATGAGTTGTGGTGTCTCACTGTGGGTTTAATTTGTGTTCTCCTAACGAGCAAAGATGTTGAGCATCTTTTCACATGTTTATGTACCATCCATATATCTTCTTTGGTGAAGTGTCATTCACTTCTTTTGCTCGTTTAACAAGATTATTTTAGATAATTGTAGATTCACATGCAGTCGTAAGAGATAATACAGAGAGATCCCTCACATCCTTCCCCCAGTTTCCCGGATGGTGGCATCTTGCGTCACTACAGGACAGTATCACAATCAGATTTCACCTGATTTTTGGTGAAATTCAGATTTCACTAGATTTACATGCACTCATTGTGTGTGTGCGTGTGTGTGTGTTTAGTTCTACACAATTTTATCACACGTGTAGGTTCACGTCGCCAGCACCATCATGAAGACACAGAACAGTTCCATCGGATCCACACGGATCCCTCTTGCTCCACTTTAATCTTTTGCCCATCTCTTCTTTTTCCTCCCCAAAGCCCCAGTACTTAGTTGTATAATCTAGCTGTAGGTCCTTCTAGTTCTTCTGTGTGAGCTGCTGCCATAGCGTGGTTTCTCACAGATGAGTGGTGTGTTCCACACCCAGGAACCAAACCCAGGCCGCTGAAGCAGAGCGCTGAACTTTAACCGCTAGCCCGTCAGTTGCCCATTTCTTTTAATTTGGTTGTTTGTTTTCTTATCAGTGAGTTTTGAGAGTTCTTTATATGTTTCGAATAGAAATCGCTAGATTTATGATTTACAAGTATTTTCTCTAGTCTGTGTCTAGTCTTTGCATCCCCTTAACAGTATCTTTTGAAGAGCAGAAGTTTTAAATTTTGATGAAGTCCAATTTATCCATTTTTTAAGGATTGTGTTTTTCGTGTCATATCTAAGAAATTCCTGCCTAACTCAAAATCATAAAGATTTTCTCCTATATTTTCTAGAAGTTTTATAGTTTTAGGTTTTACATTTGGGTCTATGATCCATTACACATGGGTATTTCTTGGATA